GAGACAGATGGCATAAAGGGAGTGTATGGCCATGATATGGGTGAGCATAACGTTAAAAAATTTGTCGGATGCAGTAGGTGCGTTGCGTCTCGCGTTATTGAACTGGAGTGTGGTGATTCATTGAGGTCCTAGATGAATTGACATCGTTTGTTGTTGTTAATTATGGGTCACCATACAGACGACAGTTAGCTGGTAATCGTCGCTCCGTGTCCAAATGCGTAAACCTGTGCGACCAACATAATGCAGGTGTATTTAGAGCAGGGGATGCTCTCAACTACCCTATTTGACAGCCTTTTCGCGGAGGTATCCATTAAGTCAGACAACATCACTTTCAGGGAGGATGCTGACTTATGTGAGACATAGAAACTAGACGTTCACTTTAACGGTGCTCTGCAGGTGGGTATGGAAGACTTGCTTTTGTATCGCTGCTCAGGGTTAAGCATTAGCTACTGTCGCTGAATATACACACACCACAGTTTCTGCGGGATAAACATAGCACGACCAGAGTAACTGCCAGTAGAAGGGATTGACGATGCTTTACGAAATTTATCGTATACGGAAGGTATGGTTCCGGATCTCAGCATTGAAGGCGAAGATGTTACTGGACTGAAATCCCAGTTTGCTAGATATCTATGAACCCTAGTTGATTAGTGCGGAGCGCGGATGATTGGTTAATCGGTTAGTCCTTTTTAGTGAGCGTCAACTTTAAATAACAGCTGATATGGTCTAACTTCGTGTCATCGGCGCTTACTGTGTTCGGTGGCGTAGGAAACAAACGTTGTCTGGGGCTCTAAATCCACGAATTCGAGGTCACACTTTTTTTGCATTTTCATTAATGGCATCAATTGTTTAATGTCAGAAATAGTATTGATAAGATGTGTTTATGCAGCCTCACCTAAGGTACACAATACTATAGTTGTTGGGGTTAGGGGTTAGGGTTAAGAGCTAAGGTCAGGAGTTAGGGATTGTGCTTGTCCCTGTGGGCTCCAGTGTTTCTGTCTTCACGGCCAACGTACACGTAAGAATATGTAGCGCAGAAAATGAGCTCACCTGTGTCATTTCGCCTTTTTTATGGATGAGACTAACTTGCGTACAATATAGAAATCAGGGCGGATTTATTTTACGCGTTGCCATTCCAATGGCTCCCTGCAGGCGAGTAGTGGAGAGGCAGTTACCTCGGACTTCTGCTGCATTTGAGTGGTGTTATTGTTCTTGTCTCAGACATGTAGGTTAGTTTATCACAGGACTAGTAGCGTCTTTTAGCGCTGACCTCCGAGCAAGTTGAGTCGTGCCATCTAACGCCTGCTAAAGTTCTGTAAGTCAGGTCGCGTCTGTCTACTTTTGCCTCAAACAAGCGCCAATCATTTTTGCCACCTCCACTCTCTAGCAGTAAATTCTGATCATCCTTACGCAAAATTCACATGGTGACCTATACAGTTAGTTTTAAGAAGAATTCCACACTCTGTTTCAATTCTGGCTCCCAAGGTCTGGAAGGGGGACTGAGAGGCAGTTGTGGTTATGGCCTTTCTAACATCTACACGCCGGTTGCGAGTGCTTTCCGTAGTCGGGGCCTTTTCGCTAATTTGCTGGTTCCTCAACAGCTGGAAAATGACGTCAAAAGCGCGAGATCAGAATGCGTCCACTCTCCAGAACGCTGTCCACGTTACCCAACCGATGTTCTCTGATAACTGTCCGGCCGAAAGCCTTAGACTGTGTCGCTCTGGTGGCCACGATAAGCAGAAAGTGATAGACGCCGACCTGCGGTCATGCCGATCTGAACAACACCTCTTCACAGCCGCGGGCAACGTTACTTTAAGTGACAGATGTCTATCTTTCAAAGATTTGGCTACCGTGCCAGACGTTCAGTGGACGAGGGCTCGGGTTCCTGAGGCCTACATGACCTATCCAATGGATGTGGACCTCAAAAAAGTCGTGATGGCATATTCCTATGGCCTGGCACTGAACGTAGTAAGTACTATTTGAAAATATTTTTCTGATTTTTACATTGGCGAGGAAGCTTTGGTACATTGTCCTACTCCGTTTATAATGTTTTTTGGAGCGACCATCGGGGTCCAAGGGCTGTTTGAAAAGGCAAAACTATATGTGCAAATCGGTCATTCAGGAATCGGCAGTCCTCATTAATGCACCATTAATTGGGTATTATAAATCTAGGTTTGTAACATAGCAAGTGTCATCTCAACCGTCATCGGCAGTGATCAGTCAGGGAATATTCATCGTAGGAATGACAGGTCGTACCACGAACACAATATGGATGGCGATTATTTCCTACGATCCTAAACTGACACTCAGCTGTTATCCGCGTCCTTGAGAGAGTACATTGTTTTGTTTGTAGTCCTACAGGATGGTTTCAGTTATGGCTGGATGAGTCAAAAAATAATATGCTCAAAGCTATCCTCCATCCTTCTACCGAACTTCTGGCATTACGCAGCTTGAGCGAGTCAGGGCTGGTGGGTGGTTGGCCACTAATGAGCACTGCCATCTATTCGGAATTGGCTTGCGTCGTGAACGCACCAGATCGATCTGCTATCGCAACAGCTAAAGCCATAGCGTAACCCCGGCCAGGTTCCCGATTAGGAGAGAGAAAAGAGCTGGACGTTACTTCGAGAGAGGATCTATTCTGTACAGAGTAAGGAAAGCTGGCAGCCGGACGGCGCCGCGAAGCCGGCGTCCTCCAGAGAGACGTCGCAGGTGTCGCCGTAAGTTGCCGCAGCAAAAGTGTCGGGGCAGGTTGTTTTCATAACCGGTCTGCTGTGTTCTCCTGTGTAACCAATCATCGAAAGGAGTTTCATCGATCGACTCTGAGCCCACGCGAAGTTATTGAAAAGCTGCAATATCCTGCGTATTCGGGAGGAACAAACTGAGAATTACTCGAATCCGTGTATAGCTTCCGTTTCTTGGTCAGAGAATCCGGTGTTTGGACGTTCGTGCCAAAAGCGCCCATCATACAGCATTCGCACGCGGGCAAACCAGTAAGTGGCGAGGATTAGACGACAGAAGGAAAATGCAAGCTGTTTATTAAAGTGCGAGAGGCAACGTCTAACTGGATGCTCATACTATTACCAGGTTTGCTAAAAACGGAACGATAATGAGCAATGGAAAAAAACTGTCAGGAAAGATAATATTTGAAACGTTGTGGGTACAAATATATACACAAGACATGGAACGTGGAAAACCGAGAAAACTAACGAAACGGCATAACTATGTAGGTAAAAATATAAAAGGAAGCAAATAGGTGGAAGCGTCAAAGGTTGACTTATCCGGTTGTCGGCCGTCGATGGTGGTTCGCACGCAATCAGGTCTCACGATCGACCAACAAAAGATTGATCACCGATTATGACAAAGGGGCCTCTGTCCGTCACTTCTGCTAGGGTGTTACAAAGCCTCGCATAGTGCAGGCAGAGAATCGGCCAGAAGTTTGGTGTGCACAGAATTGCAGCGAGACAAATGGAAGCTAGGCGGACATGCGTGCCTAAATCAACTGTCGCTAGGCGCAGGTACCAGCGAGAGGCGCGACGTCGCCGTGATGACTACTCGCAACACCGCGTCGGATTTCTGTATTAACGCCACTCCAATACTACTGATACTACTACCACCGCTACTACCACTACTACTACTACTGCTACTAAAGCTACTACTACTAACATTACCAGAATGCAGCGTGACTTTGTAAATAAAAATATGAGTCTTCACCCTGCTTATTTTCGACACTGTCTGCCGACAATTCTATAGTACGAAAAACAACCATCATCTCCTCTGAGTTTCTCTAAAACATTTTTTGGGATTCTGAGTGTTCATATAGAGGTTTTCTCCCCTTTATGAGTTTTTTTTAAATAAGTAACCCACTTATCAACAGAAATAGACACAAAATGTACCTAAGGCTACCTGAATGCCCAAGTGGGCGTCCCAGAAACTGTCCTAACAGTGAATCAAGTTAAAGTCGAATTGACATTTTAGGGGACGTAATTCTCTGGCAATTGTAACTGGTTAGGTGCCGTCATAAAAGAACGGTGGAACGTTGCACATAGCCTCAGTTATAATGTTGTCCGCATTTTGCGTCAGTCCTGGGGTCGACTGACCAATGTGGGCGGCCGTGATTGGTCAGGCATCACATTGAGCCTCCTTAGCTCGGCGATGGGCTAGATGTGATGCGAAAATCATGGAGAAAATTGACTTCAATGATGATTGAATATGTGAGCCCATGCTTTCATTATCGTAGCATACCTACTTACTTGCTTCTGGCAGGTCCTTTATGTTAGGGTTGAGTTTCTTACCGCGTCTTTGAAAACAGTTCAACTTAGAATTAAGTCCTGGGTTAGAGAAAGGGCTGGTTCTGGGCTTAGGATTAGGGTTGGGTTAAATTTCGCTTGGCACATACTGTCCCACCCAACCCGGCCAACTTTAACCGATAACCCTGGATTACCTGTTCACTGTCACTCTTCACGCTCCTTATAAACATGTTTTAATTTGCGCGCGGTCTGCTTCGCCGCTTCGTTAAAGGAGTAAAACAAGTACATGACAGGAATGCGAGTTTCCTCAATGTCTTCCACAGGCCACGACATCCGTTGATTCACGCACGGAAATCTTTCGTAAAAGGCAAGTACTAGAGATTTTCTTCCCCAAACCTAGTTAGCTCTAGTTCAGCTATCGATAAGTGGCCGTCCATATCGTCCTGGTGTTTACCAACGTTGCTATACCATCTCCATAGCAATACCATTCGTTTAGTCATTGTAGCACCCCAGACGGGAATCCTTCGTGAAGGCGAGTACTAGGGGTTTTCTTTCCCCAACTCCGTTAGAATCGGTCTGCCTTTCGATACGTTGTAATCTATACTTGGGAGTTTCTTCCCTCAGGCCCATAGTGTTCTGTTTACATTTCGATAAGTTGTCATTAATACCGATCACAGGTACAACTGTGTTACCTTTAGCGGATACGTCAACGATACCATACTTTGAGTCACTGCAGCCCCAGGGGGAAATCGTTCGTATACGGTATGATCTAGAGATTTCCTTCTCCCATTTTTGAGTTCGGTGTAACTTTTAATAAGTTGCAATCCATACCAGGTGTTTTGTTCCGTCCATCTCCTGGGGTTCGGTTTATTTCTCAGTATGTCACCATAAGTACCGGCCGCAGGTTAAACATAGATGGCTTTAGAGCCTACTACATAGACGCCATCCGTCGAGTCAGTGTCTACACACGGAAATCTTTCGCAAAAAGCAATTACTAGAGATTTCCTTTTGCCTCTTTTAGGTTTAGTTTACCTTTCGATAGGTTGTCATCCACACCAGTAGTTTTGTCCCTCCATCCTTTCAATAAGTTGCCATCAATACCGGTCACAGGTTCAACGACGTTGCCTTTTGCGGATAAGACATCGATGTCATCTGTTGAATCACTGCTGCCCCCATGATAATCGTTTGTAAACGGAAAGTACTAGAGACTTTCTTCCTCCCCAAACCTCGTCAGTTTAAGCTCAACTTTTGGTGTGTGACTATCCATAACATCCTGGTGTCCAAGGTGGTTACTTTACCAGGTCGATAGGAATGCGCTTCTTTTAGTCACTGCAAAACCCCCACACGGAAATCTTTTGTTAAGCGGAACTTGTAGGTATTTACTTTCTCCCCATTCTTAGGGTTAAGTTGTCCTTTCGATGGGTTCCATTCCCTATTGGGGCGTTTCGTTCCCTCAGTTGCCTGGGGTTCGGTTCCACTTTCGATTAATTGTCATTTGACCTGACGTTCGGGTCGATATCATGGCCTTACCGACAGTCGATGGGGATCATCAGCGTTGCTGGCATGTAATCTTTCATTTATCGTATCTGGTAACCGGTTTCAGCTTAGTTGACCATGTCGTTCTCAGTGATCGATTTTTCCCTGCCAAAGCTATCGCAGTCACTTTCACCGAACATACGGACAAGCGATATTAACACAAGTTTAAAAAAACACACCAACAATCCGTTTAAGGGACCTTTAGGTCAAGGCGGAACCATATTCACTATTGGGCTTTGTCTCGATGGCGTTTGTGTGGCAGCTTATTTCAGGATTCAGAAAAATTTCTCGAGTGGTCAGCAATGTAGTGTAAATACCCTCCTGCAGGTAGGGCGCTGTATGCCTTACATTTATCAGTAATTATTAAGCTGCAGGCGGCTTCGATTGCTGGTAGGAGACCTTTTTCCTGACAGTACAATAACACGTTGGTCAATTCAATTGCTTTCCTAATGTTTTCCATTCTCCAGGAGGCATTTACATGAGTACGCCTCTTTTTGGCATTTGGAGTCCTTTCCATAGCATATCTATAATACAAAAACATACCTTTCTTTAACGAATGTTGCACACTAGCATGGTTACTTAGTAAAAACAACAAAGGAATATACTTTATTAGCAATTTATTCCGTAAATTTTACCTAAATTTCATTTATTCAGACATTTGGCGTAGGTTTACCAGTTTATTTGCTTAAGTTTACTTTTGTGGAGCACCGCTCATACCAAAATATTCTTTACCGTACTGCAGCATTGTGTCGTGCGGTTGGGTTAACGTTCACACTTTGCTCCTTTGGGATTTTTAACGCAGTGTGTCCTTTGTTTCCCACTGGTTACTTCAGTGCCTTGGTCTCTGACCTTGGCGTCGCTATTCTACGGGTGTAGTATTTGTTTTATTTTAGATGTCACGTTTTGGTGCTACACTTTATAAATTGGAATATCTACTAGAAAGCAGACAAGGAAAGCTGGGTGACACAATGATGTGCCGAACGCCTCGCAGCTGTGTCATGCAGCGGCAGAATATCGGTGAAACCTGCGTGTATGGGCTTTTGGTTAGTACGTGTGCCGTTAGTATCTAACCGCCTTACTCTAAAATATCATCTTATTTTTCTTTTCCGATTCGCTTTCAAGGTCATAGACGGAGTTACTTTAGTGGTAGTGGGCGCTCACCGATCGCCCTTACGGAACTCACTCGTTCCATTGTGCCTTACGGGCTCCGTCTCGAGCCCAACCAGCAGCCACACAGAGGCGCATGATATAGGCAGTATGTTATTGCTACTTTTAAACTACTTAATTTTATTTAAGTTTTTGAAAACAGTCATCACAAAAAGCCTTTTCTGCTTGTCCACCTGTTAATTCATCTGTCCCACCCGTAGAACTCCTAGTTCCGTCGGTCCCGTAAGACATGTGGACCTATCCTGGGTTATTTGGAAGGGGTTTGTGTTATATCCTTGCCCAACATTTATATATCTTAATTGCATAGCGCAGTACGTTGCATTTTTGAAAATAAAGGATATTAACTCCACATGCCAGGTTGCATGGTTTAACGGCAAGCGAGTATCCGCCCTCCATTTCTTCCTGCAGAATGCCATCAACAACCCCAGTCTGTCTGTAGTCCGAAGCAGCAAGTCAGTTTGCCAGGCGGGGAGCACCGATTCTTACTTAACGATGATCATTGTGAAGAGCGGTCTCACCAACTACGCACAACGTCTTCGGTTGCGGGAAGTCATTCGCCGACAGACTGGGCATCTTAATGCCACTGTGGGGATCCTCTTCAGTCTCGGGCTTCCTGCGAATGGCCAAGTGCCTTCCGATCTGCTCAAGGAGATCGAACAATTCGATGACATCCTGCTCGCCAACTACACCGACACCTACCTCAATCTGACACTCAAGACAATTGTCAATTTGCGCTTTGTTCATCGCTTCTGCCTTCACGCCAGCTCATCCTTCGTTTTCCTCGATGATGACCATGCGATAAATCTGACACAACTGCATACATACTTCTCAAACTTTTCCTCATCTAAAGTCCGTGGAAGCATCTTTGGTTTCATCAACTCCGACACCCCGGTGTTGCGAGCGCCTGGACGCAAATGGTTCACGGAGCGGGAAATGTTCCCGTTCGCGAAATATCCCAACTACGCGGCTGGCCCTTGTTATATCCTCGGTGCCGACCTCATCCCAAAATTTTCAATTGGTGCAGCTTTCGTACGAATGTTCCCCATTGAAGACGTCTTTGTGGGTCTTATTACCCTAAAGTTAGGTCTTCGCATTCACCCTCTGCCCAATATGTACATTCATCAATCACACCTTCCTCCGAACGTATTCCCCTTGGTAGCAGGAGTGGACTTTTTCAACAGGCAACTTAATATATAGAACTATGCAGTTTACTGGAGCTCAATGTCTTTGGCATCATTTCTGAGAGGCCTTCTTTAATACAAGCTGCTCCTCGCGCCAGTGGGGCAGTCTTCTCTGCAAATATGCTCGGTCTTCCTTTTTTGTATATCAGCCGAGGACTTCTAGGCAGTGTGTCTATGTGTTAGTTGACTCTTTTGTGAGGTCATCCCAATGTTTGCCAGACTGACCAAATGTACGTAATGCCTTGCAATACTCACAGCTATTTGGGACCAACTGACTACTAAACTCTCAAGGTAGGCAAACGTTTGCACACTGTCTAGACCAGATACGTGTATACGTGGTCAGCACAGTTGCTGCAGACGTATGCGCGCACTTTCGTTGGTGTTTAATAGTCGTGCCACGCACTTGTCCCGTCTCCTTTACTGCTGTGACCCCTTTGGCTGCCATTCCTGCAAGGTTTGTCTTGGAGTCAGTACCGAACGTCAACTCTGAATTGCACGGATTAACAGCGTCATTCATCCTTCAATCAGAAACTCAAGCTAGTGCGAAACTCGGTGGAAGAAGAACTGTCTGGACACGAAAGATTTATATAATGAGATAGGGTATATGGGGACGGGGAGCGTATAGTCTCAATGAAGATGAGGATAAAGGCGGTCAAAAGGAATTATTGAGCACTTCACGGCTGTGGTTCTGGCTTGGGTACTACATCCACTGGAGTCCTGCTCTCAACTCTGTTTGAATCATCGTTCTGGTCTGTAAGGTAAAGAAAAAAAAAGGCTCGACGGAAACACAGTACCACAAATCGCCGTTTCGTCTTTTTTTGACTTCCCGCCAATTTCGCCCCTGTCTGCCACTAAAGGCGAAAGGCAGTGGTAAGCATGAACAGGTCGGAGGGGAATACTGATCGGTTTGAGTGCACCCGCTGATGGCGAAAAGACTGAAAGCCGTCTTATCAGGAAGTTTAATCCATTTATTTACAAGTATGAGGCGCATAAGTGCATTTTGATACGAAAGTAATACTAACACTTTTTTGACTCGACGTTTCTTAATCCATTTTAACGCATCATAGAGTCAGCTGCATACGGGATTAGTATTAATAAAAAAGGCCACGCCAGAGTCACAGATCTTCGGGCATGAAGTGGGTGTTTTCGCAAATAGCTGGGCAATTTCTTGGCGGAAAATTCTCCAGTGAATGGCTGTCGGAGGTTGCAACTGTTGCGTTAGTTTGTGGTAACTTCCAATTTTACCACCGTTTCACAGCGCCTAGCCCGCTCACACATTATATCTATCCCGATATTTCGGAGGTGGGTCCGCACCTGTCGGATGAGCCGTTGGACCGCTTGAGAAGCAGAACAGTTGGTCATTGTCATGGTTGAGACTCGGACTACAATTGTTCCTCTTCCAAGCGGCGTTTCTGACACTCTCACACACATGACATACAGGCCGCTCCTAAGGTGGCGTAGCACGTGTTGTGGGGACCAGGTTGTGTGTGTGGGTCTGCATAGATGGGCTGTTTAGAAGCCTCCTTCACTGTTTGCGATTCCCCTTTAGGTCGTGTGGACATTGGAGACGGTGCAGTAAGTGCTGCGCAAATCTGCCTCACTATAAATTGATTCAGTTGCAAGTCACCACTGTTGCGCCCATTCTGTTGGAAGAACGATTGGCGTCGCTGATCCCGACATTGCAATTGTCGGGCAGTTGAGTCCACATCAACGAGTTCTCCAACTGATGTGATAAAGTAATCGGAGCCAAAGACCGTTCATATGGAGTCCTGCGGTTTCGTGTCATTTGCTATGAGGTCTTGGTCGGGGTGTCGACAGGGAAACGTTTTTTGAAATGGCATTCAAGACTAATCTCAGACGACAGGATTACCAGCATAAAAAGTCACAGTGCCACACAAATCAACGATTCTTCGTTTTCTTACAGAGGGTCATTCGCCGATGGAATTCTATCCCGACGTATGTTGTTAATTCCCCTATCCTGAGTGTGTTCAAGAGAAATGGATAATCGCCTGCTGAAAGACAACCCGAACTGCCGAAGCTTGATCTAGGACATTACTGAAATGACTATAAACATACTACTAACGTGATTTAAATAGATTGTGTTTGTGAGTTAAAAGTAACCCAAATGGAAATTTTCACAGTGCGAATGCAATGAACAATGTTTTTCACGATCATTTCGAAAATGTCGTACCTTTTCACATATATGTTCCACTATTAAATTTATGCATTCTGCTCACCAAAACTGCATCCAAAATTGTTGTAATTTAACTATTTTCTCCTACATATGTACCGTCTAAATGGAGTTTTCAGGGTTTCTGTCGTTCACTCCGAATATACTGACTGCGCACAGCAAGAAATTGGAGGGGGGGGCGGATTGGATCTCAACTGAGTGGGAGTGCTATAAAGGTCAAATTTCAGAAGAATTCGTTATAGCCTGTTTCTTCGTCTTGAAAGGAGAACCGAGCAATCTCCTCCAGTTTGCAGCCCTCCAAGCCGCAGTTTTAAGGCACAGTAATGTCTGCAAAGGGCGTCTCTTTGTTTATAGTGAGAAATATGTGATGAGACCGTCAACCGCACTCCCTCTCTTCCGTCTACGAGTATCAATCAACTGTCCGAGACGGTCAACAATCTGACGCGTAGAATTGGCGCAGTGACTGACATTGCTGGAGAGCCTGAATTCGCGAGTCATACAAACGGTATGGCGCATCACACAGCTCTCTAGGATTTAAACAAATCTGATGTGCATTTCGAAGCTCTCATGTGTGAGAGTGCAAAGAGGTCATATTACGAAGGAGTCATTGCAGCCCGACTTTCAGTCCACCAGAAACACACACTGGGCTTACTGTGAGGTCTTAGTTGGATTGTCGGTTAGCAACTTTCCAATTCACGGCTTGTAACGTACCGGGATATTTGCAAAGTACGTCAGATGATTTATAGTGAGGAATGTGATCTGAGACAGTCGACCGCTCTCCTTCTTCTCTTTTTTCGTGCGTCAGTCGAACGCCCAGGCCGGTCAGTCAGTTGATGCCGAGATTGGACGCTGTGGCTTGCAGAGAAAAATCAGCCCGTCTGCGTGTGCCCCACACAGGACCTGGCCACCGGCATGACAAACCAGGATTCCATACGAAGGGTGATCTTTTGGGATCTCACTTGTGTTCGAACAGCAGAGGGACCACATGGAGAAGGAAGCTGAAGAGCACGATTCCCACTTGCTTTAGAGGTGCCGATTTCCTTTTTGTAATGCACGATGAGGATCCGGTTTCCGCGGTGTGTGTGTGAGTGGGGAGCTACGCAGTGATAGAGTTTGATCGGCTGTGTTTACCGCAGGTTTCCATGCATGCGCGTGTGGGCCGAGAAGATCCATGCGGCGACAGAATGTGGGGGACCAGTCTAGGTCGTTAAGACAGGTGCGACGGCTCGGATTCTCACTTGAATCCATCATCAGAGAGGGTTGACACTGTTAGCTTTGGAGATTCGGCGGATGCACTTCCAATCGCACGTATCCACAGCCACTGTTCACGGACTTCTCTTCGCCGACGACTGCGCACCTCGGAAGAGGACATGCAAAGGAGCATAGATCTTTCCTCCGTCGCCTGCGAGAATTTAAGTCTGGTCATCAACACGGAGAAGACGGTGATCATGCACCAACCGTCATCGAACACAGACCCTCCGCACAATGCACCGCAGATGAGCGTGAACGGAACCCAACTGCAAGTGGTGGAATATTTCCCGTATCTGGGCAGTACCCTCTCCCGCGGCAGGAGAATCAACGTGAATTATCCCGCCGGATTTTGATGATCAGTCAAGCCTTCGGCCGCCTCCAAAGCACAGTTTTGAATCGTCATGGTCTTCAGCTCAGCATGAAGCTGAAGATGTACAAGGCCGTTATCCTCTCGACGCTTCTGTACGGAGCTGAGACTTGGACGGTGTGCACTAAACATTCATGCTGACTCAGCCATTCCCACCTCAACTGTCTTCATCGCATCCTGAAGCTGCGGTGGCAGGATCAAATTCCCGACACCGATTTATTGGAGCGGACGGATATCCTCAGCATCTACACCATGATGAGACAACTAGAGCTGCGTTGGTGGGACCACCTCGCGCGGATGGACGACGAGCGGGTACCCAAACGACTCTTCTACGGAGATGTCGCCACGGCTCCTGCCGACAAGGTGCCAAGACTGTAGATACAAAAACACTGAAGACCCCTCTGGCGCGTCTGCAGATCAACCTGACCAACCGGGAGGACCTCGCCAGCAACCGACTGACCTGGGAAAGGATAGTGAGGACAGGCGCAGCGATTTAAGAAGTCAACTGAATCGCCGCCGCCAAAGTCAAACGTGGAGTACGCAAGTCCCATCAGCGTCCACCACGCAATGCCTGCGCACAACAGCCTCCAACTTGTCCACGATGTCAACGGACATTCCGGGTACTAATTAGACTTGTAGGACACCTTCGGATTAACTGCGCAACTCGGATCGCAACAGCCATCGTCCGTCGCTCCAACTGCCGCTCCTCCTTGTCCTCCACGTTGCCAACTAACACTGATTGTTCTCCTGACCCACTACTCCCATTCTCCTCCTCCTCCTCCTCTTCCTCCACTGCCCGAACGTCTGCCGTTGTGGCGCCTGACATGCACATCAACACAACACGCAATCTTCATACAACAGCCGACACTAACACCACCGCCGGCACCAGGGGTGAGGACCGGGATTACACCCGTTCTCACTGTGACATCGGCCTGGTCGGTCACTTGCGAATCCATCGCACAGTGACTGGCAAACCAGTGCCTGGAGCACCAGCCCACACCCGCTGCACTGCCCTCGCACATTCACACATCGCATGGGCCTATTCGGCCACACGCGTATCTATGAGAGAGTGAGAGATAGAGGTTTGCGATAACCCTCTGATATTATCAACGTTCGCAAATATGTCATTTTTTCAATATTTCCGCCACTGAGAGCCCAAAATTATATGATTTTACTTAAGCCTTACCATAAGCTTCTTCTTCCTTGTATTTAAGGATCAATTTATGTTCATGCAGCTTCAGATTGAGTCCTAAGACCCAAGTGGACGAGGATATTCTTAACCCACTGGGTAAACGAAATTAAAACATAGTTAATTCTACCGATCATTGCCGAAAGGACAACAAGCTCGAGGCTCAATAATCAACTCTTCATAAGTAAAGATTTTGGGTCCGAGGCGCAGGTCTCGTAAACTTGTTTCGGTGAATGCTGGCTGACCGCATTTACTAAGCCAGAAATGGTCATCCTGGTCTCCCATGTATTTACCAGGTCTGAATTTCTGTATATTTGTAGAAGAATGGCCCGAAATCGAATTTATTTAAACCTTAAAAAATCAAATCTTAGACAAAATTAAACAAGGAGAAAGCGACCACTCTTAAGTATTCACACATCAATTGAACTTTCATTTGCTTTCTGACAAGTCAGTGACTTTTTAATTCATTGGTCATAGTTCATTTCAGCTCAATGTACGTATATAACGAAAAGTGGGTCTAAACTATGTCTTCAATGTACCCCGAATTGCTTTAGGCTGATTTAGATACACGGTATATCGAGGATGTAAATTCTGTTGGCGTGCGATTTCCTTCTAGATCAGAAGTCATATTCATTCTATCGCGCAGAACGGAGAGGCGTAGTGCACGTATTTATGCTCAGGTTATGCAGAACTATACCTAAATCTTTGGTTTTAGTAGCGTAATTTAAATAGATATGGCGGATGGTTCTCGCTGCCTGTTGCTAGATTCGTCAGACTGGACTTATAATCGGCAATACAAGGCAGACCATAAGGTCACTTCCCAGTTCTTCCCACCCAGTCGTGCGCAAACACCCAAAGGAATAAACAGTACTTCGTGATTCACTAACCTTCTACTTTCTGAAACGTTTGAAAAAATGTAAAAGAGGACATTAAAAAGGGAGGTGTCCGCATGCTAGTCGGCGGTAAAAATAAGCTGTACAAGAGATTGTAAGGAAAGACCGAACAGTAGTATATCGCAAAAAATGTTCAAGAGGCAAGACGAAAGAGCAGAGTGGGCCTTTAACTTCTGAAAAGGCACCAGCAAGCGGACTGCACAGGACTGCCTAGTTTTATGAAATGGGAAAAATTTAGTTTTTTAACAAACATCCGCGAATGCAGACGGGAAGACTGAAAAATATTAGCAGGACTTTTCAGTTAAATCAAGTAATATTCACTTATAGTTGACTTTTTTGTTGTATCCTTACCTTCACTACTGGGTGTGTATGCGACTGACGCTGAACGTCTGGGGTGGATTGTGTCGGTCACATTGTAAGTAGCAAGACCAAACAGTAATTTGCAGATGTTAAGACGCTCTTGCCTTCGCTAAAGCTCAGGAAATCTTCATAATTTGTCTTGCCTTTCAGCAGCAAAATATCGCTACAACTCGTAATTAAGCGTGTAAAAGTAAAAATCAGATGTTGAGAACCAGCTTAACACACTCTCCTCAGTTCGTGCAAGTTGCCGTGGCTAAAAGTGAGAAGAAATGTATGATGACCAAAAAATTATGGGAATTTTAGCAATTCCGAAACATTTCAGAACGAAAATCGAAAGAAGGCGCGTTTTTGCTTTTCATATTCAAGTCGGAACAATCGGAATTCAGCAACCGTTCGCCGTTAGCATCCGCACTAAACGTTTATGTGCGAAGTTTTCTTGACATTTCGCAATCAGCACCAGATGAGTAGGCGTTTTTGTTCGTTAAACCACAAACGCATCTTGTGGGCCAAGTAAGCCATTTCCGAAGACAGACTGAATTGAATGACGTAGTATAAGAGAAAAAAACGGGCCTCACCTTTTATTACGTCAAAAAGGTATGTCTGCATTGGCAGAACAGAATAAGCGAAGGTCATTCCACAATTGGCTGGCAAGTGTACTGAGGAATGCAAAAGACGTCAGCCTGCATACCAGACTCCTTGACATGCAGTTCAGGGCCGCACGGCCCCGCCCCAAAAGCAGGTAGACGATTGACAGGCAAGGGCATCATTCAGCCGTAGTCCAAACACGCACCAATGAACTGTTAAACATGTGACAACTACCTCGATCAGCTGGTGAACGCTTCGAGAACTAATGTCTACATCCCCTATCGCTGTTTTAGTCACACATCTTCCAGGCACAGCAGTTTCTGTGTGCACTTCTGCTCGCGCAAAACTCCGACATCTGGTACCATGGGGGCGGAAGTACAGAGCTGACGTGAAAGTTCTGCATGGAAAATATGCCTGTAAAAAAATTGCGAAAGTGATGGATACTGTGTCTTGGGTGACTCAGGTCTATTCCCGTGTTTCACTTTCAATGCGTGGGCATGCAGGATATGTAGGTCATTGAATCTCATCGTCGTTTTGGCAAATCTTGAATGTACTAGCAACTCCCGTCATCCTCTCGCGTCACACCCACTGGGACTCGCTCCCTTCTACTTTGATCTAATGCAAAAGCACGCTTCGATATCTTTTCATTTACGGTCGATTCCAATTCAGTTAGGCGCAAAGTGATGCGTTTAATCGGGCTCGACAGATACAGCCTGAATTTTCGAGGGGTGTTGGCCGATCAGGTTATGAGAGACTATTGTGGCTTTGGACACAGTCTAGAGCTCTTGCATAGTTACTAGAGGTTTATTTAAGTAAGAGGGCACGGACAAGTTCGACGGAGACTGAAGGGCCCATTTCTGACTTATTAGTTGTTGTCAGCTTACCTTACTCAATCCCAGGTTCAGTGGCACCTAAGGTTTGAACCCGAGTTATTTCAGTAACTGGGCGTTGGCAAGTCCAATGCTTTGACTATTGAGTCGCGGGCACGTTATTCTGCCGTGTGTGAATAAGTTATAGACGCGCACTCCGATCAGATTTAGGTACGTGCTTTGGACTTTCTAACCCTTAATGACCAAAGTAATCATGAATCGAATTTTAAAAGTCTCCTAATCTGGGGTTGGATAGGAACAGCTGACGACGGCCTATAAGTCAGAGATGTCTATCCCGGTTTCCCTTGCGTCTGTCGGTACAACCTTATGCACATATACGCCAAAGTACATGTCTTTCACGAATATTTTATCCGATAAAACGATTTTCGAGGAAGGAGTCATATTTACCTCAGTGAGAAACTTTCTATACTTTAACGTTTGTGGATGAGGGGCGCTCATCGATCGCGCCGCGGAACTCACACTCCTTGTTATAACTTGGGGCTCGCACTCGAACTCCGCCAGCCTCCGCATAGCGACGCATATAACAGGCAGAGTCACATTACCGACAAAGACATGTGAGCCCGGACTGACCATTTCTGACATAGTAATCATCCAGTCATTTAGATTAGATTCCCAGATCAAATGCTCAATGCGAAAATCATTAAAGGACAAGTCCTTTCTTGTTAATGCCAAATAAACGTTGCATTGGCTAAGTGGTTCATTATCCTGCTGCTTCATTAAATACTGACGAGTGAACAACGGTCTGTTTGCCAATTAAATAAGGAGTTTTTTTCGGATTACTCATGAGCGAAATGGACTATTTTAAACATTTTACGCCGGAACACGATACCCTTCAATCTGTCCTGCAAATCCGACTGCGATTGTCCAATGAGCAGGCGTTTCAACAGAATTTCGAAAAACATTCACCTAAAAAGCGATACAGATTCGAAATACAATTACGTACATGCATATTTGCGAATACTGCCACGCAGCCGGACTCAGGCAAACACACTGTATAGTATTGAAGTCATTGTATCCACTCAAACAGTGTTAGAGTGATTATAATATTGATTATTTCACAGGACTGAGATATTCTTACAGTGGTTTATACAGGCATATATTCTATGTAGATCTCCCATTTCAGATTTATACTCAAGCTCCACGGTATCAGCTGTGGGGCCTTGTGCTGGCAGTTGTGAAAATAGACAAAGTACCCATGGAAGCATTTATGGAGACCGCCGCATTCGGCAAAGGTAGTAAAATATTTCAAAGTATTTAGCGGTTTGCATCGGAGGGCACACCTGATTGACTATCTAAGCAATGGAACGGACTTGTTGACCTATTTACTGTCAGCGGCTAGCCATATTCCAAGTGAATCCTGCAAGCAGGAGACCCGAACTTGAGTCACCCGATAATTCCACAACACCTTCGCAGACCGCATACAATTGTCTGAAAAACAAAAAAGAAGCGCTTCGTTTGGTG